TGCAGTTCAGGCTGGCCTTAAACTTACCTGGTAGCCCAAGCTGGCCTCAAATTTGCAGTGATCCTCCTACCTCAGTCTCCTGAGTCAGAGTAGTATTTTTATATATTTTTAACCCTTCTACATATATTTTAGCATTTTTATATTTAAATGTAAAAACAAAAAATATATATGGATATGTGTGTTTTCTTTTGGTTGTTGTTTTTTGAGACAGGGTCTTGCTATGTAGCTCAGGCTGGCCTTGAACTCACTATATAGTCCATGTTGGCCTCGAACTTGTGGTGATCTTCCTGCCTCAGCCTCTGAATGCTAGGATGACAGGTATGCACCACCACACCTGATTTTCTGTGTTTTCTTTCTAAAAGCAGAAAACCACCCTGACCACTGGGTGCCAAATTTGGTTTAGGAATATGGATCTCTAACCAGGTGTGGTGGTACACATCTATAATCCCAGTACTTGGGAGCCTGAGGTTGGAGAATCGCCATGAGGTTGAGGCCAGTCAACCTGGGTTATACAGTGAGTGGAAGGCCAGCTTGAATTAAAGAGTGAGGCCCTGTCTCAAAGAAAAAGAGTGAAAGAAAGAAAGAGAGAGAGAGAGACAGAGAGGAAGAAAGAGAAAAGAAAAGGAAAGACAAAGAGGGAGGGAGGGAGGGAGGAAAGAAGGAAGGAAAGAAAAGGAAGGAAGGAAATGAATCTCTGCTAGGCATGCTATGGTGGTGCACACTTGTAATCCCAGTATTCAGGAGGGTGAGACAGGATCACTGAGAGTTCAAGGCTAACATGAACTACATAGTGAGACACTATCTCAAAAATAATGGAAGAGATATACGGATCTCCTTTTGGGTAGGGGTGGGCAGTATAGCTCTTGCTCCTTCATTACCACATCAAAGTATCCTTGTCCTGCCACCCTTCTGCAGGAGAAGGATACTGGATAGTTAACAGGTTGATGTGCAAAACAAGCCATCACCTGAGCCTCATGGCTGGGTTTAGAAGACACACGTGTACATGTCCACACCTGGGTTTAGAAGTATGAGTAGACTGCTCAACTTGAGCATGCCACTGACAAGGGCTACTGAGGTTTTCTGGTGGGGCCAACATGTCACTAAAGTAGGCCTTTTGGATAAATTAAATTTTTAAAAAGCAAAACAAGTATAGCTTTTAATCAAATTTTTAGCGTTTTTAAGTGTAATTTTACAGAACTGCCTGTTTGCTTTAGCTGTCTCGTTCTACTCTGCTCTTGCAGTTAGGGACAGGGCTGGAGTTAAACCACTTGTAATTTTGTGTCCAGTATCTTTTCTTCTAGTGCCAAGTATCTCTGTTAAATACCGTAAGGGTTTATTTATTTTATAAGCCATACCCCCATCCCTACATTTCCCCTGCCATTCTCTGGTTGTTTGTGCACTAGATGCAGCAGGCCAGCTGTGATTTTCTCTTGCCTTGATGACTTCTAATAGCCATGTACAGTATGTTCAGTTAGATAACTCCTCAATATAAAACTGTAACTGCCCAAAGTGGTACTTATAAATCAATCTAACTTTTATTTTTTAAAAAGGGGGCTAGAGATGTAGGAGGTATGATCACTCAATATATTGGGTGAATGATTAAAAAACTATTACAATAAAAGACATATTGCTATTAATCCCCCTCAAAATACTCCCCTTTGCTTTGAATACATTTATCCTGTTCTTCTTGTCATTTTCTTTTTCTTTTTTTTTTTTTACTTCCCACAGTACTGGGAGAGGAACTCAGGACCTTGCAGTTGCCCGGTAGATGCTGTGCCACTGAACTAAATCCTTGGCCCTCTTGTTATTTTCTAAAGCAGTTCAGGAATTCATTTCTCTCGCATTGCTCTAAGATAGTTGCCTTCATGTTACGAATCGATTAAAAATATTTACTTTTCACGGTCACTCTGACTTTGGGAAAAGCCAGATCCAGCAAACAAGGAAGGGACTTTTAAATGAGCCTGCATTCCTGTTGGATAACACTTGATGGCAGCATTCACCATATTTTGAATCACATCTAAAAAATCACAAAAGAGGACTTCCACAAATGCTTCACAAAGCAGCAAGATAGATGATGGGCTAAGTGTGTTCAAAGTCAGGAGTACTCTAAGGGGGAATTAATGGCAATGTGTCTTTTACTGTAATACACTTTTAAAAAAGTTAAACGTTCAAGAGCTGGGGATATAGCTCAGCAGCATGGCACCTGCCTGGCAAGTGTGAGGTCCCTGAGTTGAAGTCCTGGTACAAAAAAAAAAAAAAATTCACTGAAATAAATAAATAAATTTAATTTCAGTACCTAGCTCAATGGTATATTGCTTGCCTAGGATGTATAAGGTTCTAGGTTCAAATACCAGCACTAAAAGAATGGGTTTGAGGCTTGTGCATCGACATTAAAGAGCTGGCATGCCTGGAGAAAGCACAGAATCTTTACACATCCTCCTGCACACCTGGTCACATGCTTACCTTCCATTTGGTAGGAAGTTGTATTTTTTTATACTAACTGGTAATGATAAATATGTTCTATGAGTCTTTCTAGTGAATTATCTAATGGGAGAGATGTTGTGGGAACTCAGAGCTGTATAGTTAGCCCGCAGAAATGTGTGTAAGCTGGGTGTCCCATTTGTAGTCATACGGGCGGTCTTGTGGGACTGAGATTTTAACCTGTGAGGTCCAAACTAATTCAGAAACTAA